AGGTTGTGGGTTTGATTCCCAGTTAGGGTGCGTACGGGAGGCAATGCATTGATGTTTCTCTCTCACACCGATGTCCCCCCCCTTCCTCTCTCTAAAATCTAAAATCAATAAAAACATATCCTCGGGTGATAATTTTAAAAAAAGACATTACTATTGTAAGTCAAATCATTATGCTGTGCACCTTATACTTAGAAAGTGCTGAATGTTGATTATATCTCAATAAAATTTGGGGGGAAATTTCAGTGTTATGAGTTTTAAGTCTCACCATTACACTGTGGCTATGTGATTTCCTAAACGTCGTCCCAGAGAAACGCAGTTGAGTCTGCGGAGCAGTGGGGGGTAGGGGAAGCAGACGGAGGTGAACAGCTGAGACTTGTTGGCACAAATGATGCCTAATGTCCCAGCTGTTGGGGCTCCACGGCTGTTGTGAGCAGGTTGTCATGTGCAGCTCCTGCCACACGGTGGCGACAGATTACCGGCTATTTTGGTGCTCCGTCCTGGCCGTGGGTGGGGCCCACTTAGAGGTAGTGGGGGGAGGGGTGCATTGGGGCATATGTGCTTGGGGCTTTTGACTTCTTTTGGAGCTGCTGCCCCAGATTAAACCCACTTCTGGCTGTGGTAACGATCCAGGTGCGCAATCCATATCAATCAATATTCGTGGAATTATTTATGGTCCATGTTACCAACCTTCCCTCCCTTTGCCCCCTATGTTCTATTAGTTTTGTCCACCCTTACCGGCCAGGGTAGAATTCAGGAAACACGGAGGGGAGCTCAGGCTTATACTTCTCTCTGTAGATCAGTGGATTATTCTCTCCCCTCCCTCCACTCCTCACAGTTACCAGATTTAGCAAAAATACTGGACACCCTGTTCAATCTGAGTTTCAGCTAAATAACATATCGCTGTTAGGTAGAAGGATGTCCCATGCAATATTTGAGATAAATTTGTACTAAAAAAATTATTCATTTATCTAAAATTCAAATTAGTTGGGTGTCTTGTGTCTTCTAGGATGAAGTGCTTCAGCTCTGCTACTGGGAGGTCTCTCAGTTAGTGGCTCCTGTGCCCTTGGACATGTCCCCATCCTTGAGGTGGGGGGGGGCAGGGGAGTTTGAACATGTTTGCCCTGGGAAGGCCATAGAATCAGCCCTTTCCCCAAGAAGTTTAACACAGCTGTGTGCCATTTCATATGGTTACTGTAACAAATGACCACAGCTTGTTGGCTTAAACAATGCAAATTTATTCTCTGATGGTTCTGGAGATCAGCAATCCTAAACCCAGGTGTGGGCAGGGCTGGTCCTTCTGGAGGCTCCAGGGAAGAATCATTTTGGCCTTTTCCAGGTTCTAGAGGCCCCACACCCCTTGCTGGTGGCCCTTCTTCCTCCTTCATCACAGCAGCACAGCCTCTTCCATCTCTGACTCCGACCCTCCTGTCTCCCTCTTATTAGAACCCTGTGATGACACTGGGCCTCCTGGGGATTCTGGGGTCATCCCCATCTCAGGATTCTTGACTTAATCCCATCTGCAAAGTGCCTTTACCACAGGTCCTATGAGCAAGACTGAGGAAGTTTTGGGGGCAGTTATTCTGCCGACCATAACAACCCATGAGTTCTCCCTCCTCCATGGCCTTTGTTGCTTTGGAGCTGCTGTGGTCAGGACCACACCCACACTCTTCACAATCTCAGGGCATAGTGGCTGCCCTGCTTTCCTGGCTCGAAAAATATTTCAAGGTCTGCAGAGCAAAGAGATTCCCTAGGTATTTTCTTTTTTTGTTTGGGGCTATGTAGCTTTACATTAAACCCCAATAAAATAAAAAATTCTATCTCTCAGTTGCACAAGCCACCTTTCATGCTCAATCACTCCATGTGGCTGGAGGCTCCTGTGTTGGACAGTGTAGATCTAGAACCTTCTCATCATTGCACAAAGTTCTAGTGGGATGCTGTCCAATACAGGAGCTACTAGTTACATGTGGCTATTTACATTTAAATTCTGTTGGCCTCTAAAGTCCAGTGTGAGCCAGTGTGGCTTTCTTTTCTTCTTATTTTTTTTTATATATCTTTATTGATTTCAGAGAGAGGAAGGGAGAGGGAGAGCGAGATAGAAACATCAATGATGAGAGAGAGTCATTGATCAGCTGCCTCCTGCACGCCCCCAACTGGGATGGAGCCTGTAACCCGGGCATGTGCCCTGACCGGGAATCGAACCCCGATCGCCTGGATCCTAGGTCGATGCTCAACCACTGAGCCACGCCCAGCCAGGCGCCTTTCTTTTCTTAAAAGGGAGAGTCCAGGGGTGAGGTAGGTTGTGCTGAGTCCATGAACCAACAGAAACAAGTGACAAGAGAGTGAAAGCTTGCATTCAGGACCCTAGCCAGGCCTCAGCCTCTGGCATCCCTACTTGTGCTCAGGTGTGGAGAAGCTATATGCATAGGGTACTTGTTTCTGCTGCAAAGAAACGCTTCCCAGCTCCCTGGCCAGGAATGTAGTCTCTGTAGGTGATTATGAGTTTTAGTCACTCCAACTCTCAGTGGCTTAAACAAAGAAGGAGGGCTTACTGGTGCTCACAACTGAGGATGAGATGGGTTGCCTTCAGACATGACTGAATCCAGGGCCTCAAACAGAAAGATCCAGAATTTACCCCTGGGCACCTCTAGCTCTCCCTGAGGGCCTCAGCAGCTCTGGCCTTCGTCTTATCAGTTTCACAAGCCCCAAGCAGGGACTAAGCATAACCCTCAGATATTTCTGGAAAGTCCTGGGACAGCATATCCTCAGACCACCAGGAGTGACAGCCTCACCCTCTGGTTTGGGTCCTCACTCCTATGTAATATTGCATCTTTCAAAAACCCCTTGAGCCCGGCCGGGCGTGGCTCAGCGGTTGAGCGTTGACCTGGGATCCAGGCGATCGGGGTTCGATTCCCGGTCAGGGCACATGCCTGGGTTGCGGGCTCGATCGATGACTCTCTCATCATTGATGTTTCTATCTCTCTCTCCCTCTCCTTTCCTCTCTCTGAAATCAATAAAGATATATATATATATAAATATAAACAAAACCCCTTGAGAGAGCTCTGGCCAGACTGGATTTGGGCCTAAGGCCTGGGCTTGACCCTCTGGCGGCCATTCATCCAACAGCCTCATCATTCGCCATACCCTGCCGAGCCCCTGGGCATCCTGAGCAGTTTTGAGATGCCTCTTCTCTCCTCAAATTATAGCAGCAAACTGACAAGCTGACTCACCCAGGGCTGTCAAAAGGCAAATCTTACCCAAGACACAGGCCTCAACTCCTTGCAGAACTAAAGCCCTCCCCCAACCCCGCCATTGTGCCCACTCCCTTTGGGACCCTGATTTGGGCTTCAGCCCCCACTTCCTTCCCAAGAACTCACTCCTACCCCCCTCCCCAGGTCCCCACCCCATCCCCAGGGCTGCCCTTTCTCTCTGTGGTCTCCACAGCCTCACCTCCCTGCCACCTCCACCCCCTCCAGCAGTCAAGCTGGGGTGTGACCTCACCCCAGTTCACTGGGGGCCACTGTAGCCAAGTCCCACTTCACCACTGAACTGTGGGCCAGGCCAAGTCAAGCAATACCTGGCCACCTGAATTCGTCTCCTGTGATTGCAGGAGTAAAGTACCACAAAGTGGGCAGCTTAAAACAATTGTCCTTTTTTCTCACGTGGTTCTGGAGGCCAGAAGCCCAAAATCAAGATGTGGCAGGGCTGTGCCCCCTCCCAAGCCTCCAGGGGAGGGTCCTTCCTGTCTTTTCCAGCTTCTGGGGACTCTAGGCTTCCCTTGGCCTGTGGACTCATCACTCTAGTCTCTGCCTTATCGACACTGTCACAGTGTGAGTTGAAAATCTTCCCTCTGCAGGTCTGTCTCTCCTCTTCTGCCCCTTATAAGGACACTCGTCATTGGATTTAGGGCCACCCCAATCCAGGTTGAGCTCATCTCAAGAGCCTTAATTATATATCTGCAAAGACACTCTTTCCAAATAAGGTTCCAGTCTCAGGTTCTGGGGGATATATCTTTTGGGACCATGATTCAACCCACTTGACTCCCCCTGAGCCTCACCAGAGTTGGGAGTGTGGATGTGGGAGAACCTTGTTTTACAGATGGGGAAATTCCAGACAGGGCTGGAACCCCTCATGTGTATGGCTCTTCCTGAGACCCACCCCATGCCCTGAAGCTCTAGATAGGATTTAGCGGTCCAGGTGCTTCCACTCATCAGCCAGAGGGTCTACTGTGGCTGACACTTACTGGGTTCACTTTCCTTGGGTTTTCCTGTCTGTCTGTGGCTTTCTCTCCACCTTTCTGTTGCCCCTCCTGACCTGTTGTCCCAAGTCCCTTGCCTCCTCTTGGAAGCCCTCCTGGATATCCTAGTCTTCTAGTGGCTGTCCCCCAGACCTCGCCTCATTGCTCACTCCTCAAGCCAGCAGCCAGTGGAGACTCTTATCCCTGGAGCCCCTCCCTGTCACCACCTTCCACACTCCACCCTCCCTTGACTCCAGTGCTTTCTTCCTTCAGAACTTTGGTGGCACCCAACTACTGATGACCCAACCCCTGGCCACCCTGGTCCTCACCTCCATGCCAACCAGCCCTGAACTGTCTGGTGGCCCAATGGGCCAGGTCCCAACTAGACCTAAGGTGAGAGGGGGACAGCTGTGGCTCATCACTCAGACATCCTTTTGGGGTGGGACATGTTAGGACCCAGGTGGCAGATTGCTAGACCTCTGTATCCCCATTTGCAGTGATGGGGGGATCCCATCCTGTGGGGACTGGCCCCCCCCCACACCACAGAGCTGGAATGTGCCCCAAAAAGAGACAGCCTGGCACTGCCACTTCCACAGTGGCCATAACTGACTCCACAGTTGGCTGGACCCAGGGATATGGAGGACCTGAGCCTCAGGAAAGGAGGGCCTGGCTGGACCACCTCTCCAACAGACCTAATCTGGAACAGGGCACAGCACCTGGCTTGCGGGGTAGAGCCTGGAATGGGGGTAACCTGAGCCAAATTCCTTTATCTGGAAGATGGAGGATACAGAGCTGGGTCTGAGGGTCCCTCCCCCAACCCGACCTCTCCATGCCCACCCGCCCCACACCACGCCAAGGGCTCGCATGTCATAAAAAGACTTTATTAAGAAGGCTTTGGAGTCAAAAAATAAAACTCTTGATACAATTTTCTGAACCCTTAAGTCAGCTCAGCAAATATATAATCAGTAATTTAGCTGCGTAAGATTAAAGGTCCGTTACTTTAAAATAAAATATATTTTAGTTCTTAAAATTTATTCCATAAAGTACATACATATTTCCCTATAAATTTGCTACATATACACAAGAGGTAAAAAGTAAAAGTTTAAAAAAAACAATTAAAAAAAAATTAAAAACGGACAACATAAACCACAGCAGAAGGGGATTAATAATTAAAAATAAAAAAGTTAGAAATTTCTGGTTGGGATGTCCCTTGCTCCCCTCCCCCCACCCCCTCAGGCCTTCCTGGGGCTGACCTACAAAAAGGTGACCGGTTAGCCCCAAAAAGGGAGTGAAAAGGGAGTAAAAATGTCACCATCCTCCTGGTGGAACTTTCTGCAGAGGCTAAGACTGCGCAAAAACAACACTGTCAAATCAGAAATCCACTTCATAGAAAAGAAGGACAACTGATTGTTGTAAAAATCGTTTTGTTTTTTTTAAAAAAGATCACCCTGGGGGTGTGTGTGTGTGTATGAGTGTCTCAAATAAAAAGTGCAACAGACCTTTTCTCTCTGGTTTATTTTAACCTGTCAACTCAATACTGTTATTTGTTAAGAACTGAGGTGCCACTGGGCTGCCGGGTCACTGTCTCCATGCCTGGGACCAGAGTTAAAGCTCATCTGTAAACACTGGCCACACTGCCCCTGCCCCC